AACTACGTCGGGGTGAGTCTGGGCTATCGATGTTGGTTGGTATGATGCCTTCCTCAATGTGAAGGAGTTTTTAATATTATCAATGCGGACCGATGAGCATGATTTGAGTATGTCCTTCGACACAGCTAGTTCTGATATCACCGCTTTACCCCAAGTAGCTATTTGCAACGCCGATTCCTCCTCTCGACATTCGATTTCAAGAACCTGTAATATTTCCTAGCGGAGCGAAGCAACAACATCATCATCATTTTTCCGTACCTTTTCCTGGCAAGCACATTGCATAACTAGAGTGCCCATAGCAGTGTATTGAGGTGGAGCCATAACATGGCTACATGAGTACTGGTTCATGCCCTGTCCAGGAGCTAATGCCTCCAGCTCGATACCGGCTCCAACGATGGAAGCCCGACCGAGCTGCATTGGAGTAAGAGAACCCTTCACAGTGACCCTCTCACAGGAGCGGCAGACCTTCTCTTGAACAACAACCTGAAGGCTTCCAAACTAATGATCCGATATGGGCGATGTTGTACTGGGGAAATAATTCCGAAAACGGATTTCTTCGCGCACTGAGCGATTATGCGGAAAAACCTCTTACAGTAGCATCAGCCTTCCCGCAGAATGGTCCACGACTGACCTCCACGGCGGCCGTAGCAGAACCACAAACCATCTCAACCTAAACAACAACAAAATGCATAAAAACACCTCCACCGAAGATCGAACCCGGGACCTCCCGCATGGTAAACAACATTACTAACCTTCTCCTCTGCGCGCATCCTCTCATCTCGACACTCCATCGGTATAACATATTCATCCAAGCGTATCTCCGGATTCTGTCTCAATGCTCCACAAGTGAGGACCCTCCTCTCACTCTGCCTCTGTACCTACTCATAACCTCCTCCACAATAACCCTTCCGACCAACTCCCATCTCACATGCAAGTACCGCACTGACTGGGTTAACGTTATTGTTTGCATTGCGACTTGCCATCCACCATCTCCTCCAACTCGACATGCAGTACACACACCGGGCTGTGGGCGCACAGCAACCTATCATATCCCTACTCCA